TTATACTTTATTTAAAAAGTCTAGTTCTGTTTTAAGTTAGCGAAAAAGATAACGGATAAAAAAAATTAACTTTTTTTCAAAACATACGTAGAAGATATGTATGTTTTTATTTATATCTACTCACCGCTTTAACTGTAGATCATCAAATCAACAGGCTGTAGGCCTGGCCACTGCTGGACATAGGCCTCTCCTAAGAAAGGAGGTTTTGGCCTACTATTACCACGCTGGCCAGACGGGTTAGTACAGGGTTTGTTTCAAGTTTTCCTTCTCTTTGCAGTGCTGTTGTCCTGCGTAAATTGCTCCCTTAGTCGGCTCTTACGACACCCACGGGATGAATAGGGGTGGTGATATTCCGTATTCTTAATCCTTCACCACACGGACTTTCGGATTTTCGTTAGGAAAATAATATTTTTTTTTGGCATCATTAAATTAATATATAATTATTAGTTCTCATTATGTGCATGTAGATTATCTTGCTCGGTAAAAAATCAATTTCTGGGTAAGATACATCGACTGGTGTCTGTAAAAGATATAAGTCAAATGTAAAATGGGAATACTTCTCCAATATATTTTAAAATATTTTATCGAAGTAAATTTACTCTCAACTTGCCGTTGACGAGAAAATTATCTGTGCAGTCTACTCGAAGAGATTACAGCTCCGACAATCCAACGGTAGCCATTCATTGTCAGCCTTCTGAGATAAATGGTTTCCAACGAGTTTAGTCTCCGTTTTTTTTCCACAGAGCTTTTTAGGGTCAATACTCAAGTACTCCTCTACGTGACAGAAAGAACACGATAGGTTATTAGTTTGTAGTGGAAACGGTCAAAAGCTAATCTTGTTAACAATAACATTGAGTAATTACAGGTGAACTTAATACAAGGTCGCGTCATATCCCGTAATTTGTATTCTAATCAAATTGACTTCACAGCAGAATATGAAGTTGTTATTCTTTGTCACACGGGGAATTATGCTTCAGTCAACTTTATAGTTAGGCGTACAGTTCAATAATAAGTAATGTTAGTTAATAGGTTGTTAATAAGGCAAAAATACTAACTGTGTGACACATAGGACTATGTCTACCAATATTGTATCTAACTTGTGGCAGAGAGCTCAATACAAAAGTCACCACATAAAGATACAAATCTGCAGTTTACGCTCTGTAGAGGAAGTGAGCCATTTGAGTGGATTTATATTGCATTCCGCAAAGGAAATAAACATCAGTTAGTAGTGAATAAGGAAGTAGTAGTACGGGCGCATCGGATTGGCCTAGATACGTTTCTAGGTGAAAAGGTGCGCCCTGATAGTGGAAAAATGCTTTTAGGTGTAACAAGGTCCTTTTCCGGTGTTCAAGATAGTAGATTTGTTGTATGGCTTTTGAAAATCGAATTGTATAAAGCTTTATTTCTTTTTTATTGACGACCTCTTTAGAGTGAGTTTTAATGAAAAAACCGTATTAATGTTATATTGACCTTGTTTTGATAGGCTATTCATGCTTGCAATTGGTTTAGATATTTATTAGGTTAAGAGAACACAATTTTGATTTAGTTATGTTGTTTATGAAGAAACGGGCATTGGGTAGTCAGTAACTTGGAATAGTCGGTCGAGTGCTTTAATATATGGTAGTAGTGTTTCTAGAAATTTAGAAAACAGTTTATAGGATTAAAATCGCTTTTGTAGATTAAAGTCGTATTAGAATTTCTAGTTTTTTTTTTAATTTCAAGAAGCAATTTAAAATACGAACTCAATTTATTGATAAAATTCATTAATCGTCACCTTTTGCAATAAGAAGTGGCAAGTGTCTTATTTCAATGTGTCTAATAAATCTAAAGCAATATTCAAAACGGGACTTGCGCCTAAAAAAATTTCATCATGTATTTCTTTAACTTTCGCGACTGCAGTTTGTAAATCGAGTAAGTACTTATCATAATTCGGTATTCAATTTCTATGGGCTACCTAAAAATGTCTGTCCGTGTGGTGACGGATTAAGAATACGGGTTGTCACCACCCCCATTCATCCCGTGGGTGTCGTAAGAGCCGACTAAGGGAGTAAACTAGGTAGGACAACAACACTGCAAAGAGAAGGAAAACTTGACACAAACCCTATACCAACCCGTCTGGCCATCGTGGTATAGTAGGCCAAAACCTCCTTTCTAAGGGAGAGGCCTATGTCCAGCAGTGGACTGTTAAAGGCTGTTGATGTGATGTGATGTGACCTAAAAATGCGGACGAGATTATGATCCAATCGCAATAATAGATTTTATTGTGCTTGCAGTATTTTATCTTATCACTGATACAATTTTATAGTAGTAACATGTACATAAAGCCTATTTAAACGGTATTGTCTATGAAAATTCATTAAACATTTCCATAAAATTATTAAGTAATGGCTGTTCCGAGCACTATTTCCCATCTTTTCGCAGATTTAAGCCCATCAACCTACATCAACAAATTTGAATAGATCATTTATAATGTTGTCAACGCCATTGTCAAGGATGGGAAATGTTTTACTTAAACGTACTTACATTTGGTTATACTACCGCTTCAATGATGGTTTTTATCTATTTTTCTATAATCTGGATGTGTGAACCAGGATGTGTCCTTTCTTTTACCTTCGTTTCCATTTAAGCTATTTAAAGATATTAACTTTTTTTTTTTTTTTTTTATATATATATATATCTACCACATACACACAAGGCCATCTAGTCCCAAACTAAGCAGAGCTTGTACTATGGGTACTAGACAACTGATATAAATACATATATACTTTTTTTATTGTAAATATATACATATTATACATAGAAACACCCAGACCAAATCAAACATCAAATGTTCATGCACACAAATGTTTGACTTGAGCGGAAATCGAACCCGCGACCTTTGGAATAGCAGTCCGTTACCGAATAGCAAACCACTACGCCATCCAGTCGTTAAAGTTTTACCCGCATATAAGTTTAGATATGGAATGGTAAAAGGTTTTTTAGAAAGTTTTTCTAATACGAATAAAAATGTTTGAATACGGGCGTATTTAACCAATATCTTAATAAATCTATTCAATTGTTGTCTGTCGCATAAAGCTATTATGCAAGCAAAATTTAAAAAAAACTAAATAATTTTGCTATTGACAAAACCCGTGAAAAATAGCCTTAGGCTTACGGTTAAGGCATGTACCAAACATACAGTCGAGCCGGATTTCGCCTATGGTGCATTACATCTATACAAATAAATAATAGTTTTTTTCATGCTTACATGGTTATTTGCACGATACCTATGAATAAAAACCAGTTAAAATATATTTTGTCTGCTTGTGCCGGGTAATCTTCAAAACGGCTGCACCGATTTTCAGTATATTTTGCCAGGTAGCTGTCTATATAAGGAGTAACTTAGCCTATTTTTCCCCTCAGAAAAACCCTATAAAGTTTTGCCCGATCCGGGAATCAAACCCGAGGTCTCATGGACTGCAGTCGCGTACGTTCAATTGAACAAACATTTTCAATTAAAATTCCAGGCGAACGAAGTCGCGGGTACCAGTTAGTATTGTATATATCTCACGTCCATATCCCGAAGAGGTAGACTTATGGGCATCATAATATATTATTTTCGTCCCATTCACAATTAGGAGCAAGCCCAGTGGGAACTCGAGTTTAGATGGGAAAATTAGGAGCCTTTCAATATAAAGGAAAGGTAGATAAGAAGGGAAGGCAATGATAGAAGTGGGATATTTCCTGTTTTCTCTGCATCACCCAATGTTTGACTGGTAGAGAATGCCTGAGGCATTAAGTCCGCCAACGCACCAAATGTGCATGATGTGTATACAAATAAATAAATATTGCTTATCGATTGGGTAATGTAAGCAGTAGCTCAAACAAGTCAGGGTTGCATACCTGTAACTCGAATTGGACATTTTCAGAAATTGCCCACAGCTTGCATCTGGGGCGGTGTACTATGGGGATTTTGTGTCAACTAGGGTGAATTTCCGTGCGTTCAGGTTCTGATATTATAGAAATCAAATATTAGTTCACTTAAGACCCATAATATTTTGTGGCTGTGGTGCTTCCTTGTTTAAAAGGGTGTATGCCTATTTTACTTCATTTTGTCTCCCTGTTTTTTAGCAAAGGAGCTTGCTAAGGAGGGAAGTGGATTTACTGTATTTCCAACTCCTCCAATGTTCATCCAAGACAGTTTTTTTTTCCTGGGACTTCCCGATTGTCATAACTCAGTGTGTTCTTGGGTCACTGCTGTTGATGCTACAGTGGTGGGCGTGTGGGAGAGATTAGTCCCATTTTTTTTTTTACCTTTCTTTGCATTCAATTTCGTCATTAACACTGAGAACTGCCACCACATTGTCTGTTGAGGTTTTAATACCATCTTTCACCCAAAACATGATCCTCGGATTTTTCCGAATACTTTTAAAGTTGTAGTGAACCTTCTGTCAGTGTGAAATGCCATAAGGAAACCATCTTTAAAACCTTGATTCAAAATACTTTCAATTATCTTGTATGACACAAGCCATTAAACGAGACTCTAGGGAAAAATAAATAATGTCCAATACACATGACGTGGGATTTCATGATAGACGAACAATATGCATACATAACCACAAACATAGATAAATAAAATTCCTAAAATTATATAGTTTTAGTTAAATTATAAATAGTTTGAATATGGCAAGTACCTTAAACTGCACTTGAACTAATTCTGTAGTCTACGAATTAACTTAGATGAATTGTATTTATATTCCACTTCTGTGCCACCAACGTATTCAATGAACTATAAATATCTTTATACAAATATTTACCCATGCAAATAAAGGTATGCTTAGCCAATGGTACTTCTCTAATCTGGGGAACAGTTCCTTCTTCGCACTCTATCATTTGAGGGTCACAAATTTTATTGTAAATATACTCTTTCTTTTGTATTCCAACCTCAAGCTTTTTATTTTTATTTTGCGGTTGCAATACAAATTTAATTCAAAGTGATTAATATGATATTTCTGTTTTAGGATATGACGCGGCAATCGATACCGGTGGCGACGAAAGGTAAGTAATAATAATCATAATAAGTTTATCATAACATATTTTCTATTTTAGCTGAACCTGTAAGAAATTGATGTAGTTACGGTTTAACTTTGAATTGAAATCACGTCTCTCTTAATAACTTGAACGAGTGACGTAAACTTAGGTATAGTGCAGAATTATAAAGAAAAATGGGTTGCCAGCTGTGTTTACAACTGGCAACCCAGTGGCAACCCACTGAGGTGAATTCATCAATTTATCAGATTCAAAACAATTTAAAAATATATGTATTCTCATTTTCGATAAGCATCAGCACCGATATCTAAGGTTAAGAGACAGATCTTAGGCTGGATTAATAATATACCTTTAATAATCTAATTCGTGTTACACAATTTTTGATTGGTTGCTTAGAACACAGTCTTTATATTTAGGCGAGAAGTCCATGAATCATACTGTAAGCTTAACGTGTGGTATTCTATGTATCATGTCTTGTTTAAAACAGCTCTAACTAAAGATAGCGATTAGTCAAACTAAGGACAGAAACAGAACTTGGAAGAGTATCAAATATCAAAGACTTGCCTTTGGCGAAATTTAAATAAAAGTGTTATGAACCTTAAAATATACTAAGACTGAATTCTGTGATAACAGTACTCCAGTGGTACAGATCTATGTATTAAAGATTACTTTAAAACTTACTTTGACCATGGCCTGTGTGATCTGACTGTCAAGCAAATTGTAAAAGTAAAAAGTATGGAATGGTGTTAATCCTCGTACGAGTGTGTGTGGTTCTTTTGTGTTTTGGTTTAAATGTTGCGTATGACCAACGGATTCGGTTCGTGAATTAGGCCAAACAAGGAATAGCAAACATTCGGTACGGTATGAGATCACTATTTCATAAACCGCCATTTTAGTTGTTACAGTTCTAAATTCAAACTTTAACAATGTCTTCATTGTAATGGGTATTTCTAACTGTCGTTGTCTTGTCAATTTAAATGGCTATCTGTTACTCTTTGGCTTTATATGACTGTGTTTTATTAGGAAACAAAAGAAGTTAGTTATTTCTACTATTATTGCTATCATTCTTGTAGAGTTTTTATGACACGCTGCCTAAATGTTAGTGTTTACTCGTGCATTGTGCCAAAGACAACTTTAGTGGCTTTTGTTGCCTGGCAATCTTTTAGAACATCGGCGACACTGCAAATACCACCATAATTATCTGTACTGTGGTGTGCCTGATTCCTATAAACGTATTTCTACAAATTTTGTAGAAACAAGTTTATAGGAATTATACCAAATTATTTTCTTTATCAATTTCTTTTTTTTTCTATAGTTTTAGAATTTGTTATTCATCATCATCATCAGCATATCGCAGTCCACTGCTGGACATAGGCCTCTCCCATTGCACGCCACTTAGATCGATTTTGGGCTTCTCGCATCCAGCTCCTGCCAGCCATCTTGCGCAAATCGTCCCTCCACCTGGCCTGTTGGCGTCCTACACTACGTTTGCCGAGACGTGGTCTCCACTCAATTTGTTATTCGAATGGAATAAATCGTTATTCTCAAAGGCAATGTAACAATGCCATCTTTGGCTTTCTACATTAAATATAAATTGATAAATATTAGTAACTGTATAAAAAATTAGGACGGCGCTGAACTGTAGGCCCTTTCACATTACGCGATGAATCATTACGATGTAACATTACTGTCTTTTTTGTCTCTACTTTGTATGAACAATGTTACTCACAAAGGATATAAACAGAACATGTCCAGACATGTTTATCATTAATAGTCGATCACTTGCAGCAACTATAACATTTGAGTCTCTATTCCATCTCTTTTTGTAGGCCGTTAATGTTAATCTAATTGTTTTCTTTATGCTCTCAGTGCGCTATGTAGAAATTGTATTAATTAAAATTGTTTTAAGCTCCCTTACATCAAAATCCAATAGCCTTTATGTGTGTCATAAATAAACTAGTTGGTAGAATAGTTCTCCGAACCTAAGTCTAACGTCTACGGAAGGTAGAACTTAAAACAACCGTTATTTTTTAAAATATTAGAAATTTTAAAAAGAAATCTGTATATATTGTGTTCTTGTCTTAATGTAGTTAGAGCGAGATAGAAAACCTTTGATTCGCTTTGCATGAGCGTCGTCGCAGTGTCTGGTCGACGAGTTCAACGGTCGCGGTTCAATTGTTCACCAAACAGGTGGAGCATGCGAGATTATAGGCTTTTTGATATCGACTATGCACTGACCATAATGCGCTAATTTGTCTTTTGATAAATCGCTAACAGTATACTAAGGTACTGCTACACTGTTAGCTATGCTAATTGTTAAATTCAGATGAAGAAACTACAGTAATTTTAAATAGTTTTTAAACAACAGCAACTATATGGATTGCTTTTATGATCTTCAGACTCCTCCGATATACATTATTAATATATTTGAGTGTTTTTTTTAAATTACGTTTATGGTCAAATTTTCACTCGTATGCTTGTAAATTAATTATCATCATCAACAACCTTTAATAGTTCACTGCTAGACATAGGCCTCTCCTTAGAAAGGACGTTTTGGTCTACTATTCCACGCTGGCGAGACAGTTTGGCATAGGGTTTGTTTCAAGTTTTCCTTCTCTTTGCAGTGCTGTGGTCCTGCGTGGTTTACTCTCTTAGTCGACTCTTACGATACCCACGGGAAGAATAGGTATGGTGATTGATTTCCTATTCAAACTTCCACCCACCTTTACACCCTCTTAAAGGATGATTCCTTTCATAAAAATCCTATGTCCTATCCCGGGATTCGAACTATCTTTATACCAAATTTCATCTAAATTGGTTTAGCGTTTTAGGCAGAGAGACAGACTGACACACTTTCGCGTTTTTAATATTAAGTATGGATTAGTCTATAGAGTCTTAGATTGTAATGGAACATGACATGACATTTCCTGTTCTAGATTGTTCATTGCGATTATCGTAATGTTAAACCCACTCAAACTTCAAGTATTTTGATGAAAATAACTGAATATTAATAAGTGTTTTTGTTCCTGTTTCGATGCAACATGTCATTGAACTTGCGTTTTAGTTACCGTTTTACTAACCTGCCACCGCACTTATTGAATGTTTACGTAGAACACTGTCAGGTCGCAATATTCTGTTTGCACATTTATTAGTCATATGAACTTTTTGCAATCCAAAAATCTTATATATATATAATAGCGCCATCTAGTGAAAATAAGTTGAACTATGTAGTAGTTTTCACCTAAATCACGCAATTAAACATCTTACACCCTTACATTGTTTTATCTATCATCAGCTGATCGGAGCAACTTTGCGCCTTTCAAAAGGAATAAATTTTCCTCGTTTTTTTTTGCAACATCTTTCTCCTCCTATTGGTCTTAGCGTGATGTTTTGCCACCATCGATAAATGGGCTATCCAACGCCAAAATATTTTTTCAAATCGAACTAGTAGTTCTTGAGATTAACACGTTTAACTAAACTAACGAACTGTTCATACTCATAATATTAGTATAGATTTTCCAATATCATCAACCCATAGGCCATAATCCACTTATCTCGGTGTCGGTATCTCAACCGTTTCGTGTGACAACACAATATGTATGTATATTTTTATATGTATTACAGTGGCCAACAAGAACAGTTCTCGCCTGATCATAGGTAGTTACCAGCCTTTTAAAATATTATAAAATATAAACCTGTTTTTTCGACAAATTTACACACACATAAGCACACTACCCGTTGGTGTCCATAAACATTGGTTTTGCTTGCATGTTGTCAACCTTATTTAAACTGTTTAAGAGATCTAATTTTTCTAACATATAATATATACATATACATAAAAAATTCTGTTTGTAGAATTACAAGTTATAGAATTGAAAATAAACAAATGAAACAAACCCAATTGAAATGTGTAAAATTTGTTGAAGATTCGTGACGTAAAATTAAACCATTATGTAATTCGTCACTCGGACATGCAACCTAACCAGCCAATTAGCTAACCATTATCTCATATAAATAAACATTTATATTTAAAATCTTCATTAATACTTCGGATGTGATAGTGTCTACACTTCATTTCGATAGATAGACTTTCTTACTTAGCATTCTTGTTTCGTTCTAAATTCACTCGTCTCTTGCGGCACCCTCCAGTTACTGGGACCCCTCTTGGTTCGATGTGCATACTTATTTTCCCTGCTACCCTTGAGAAAGACGGCATTACAGTTTCTGTTCACGCATTCAAATTGTTTCAACATTTCAAGATTTGCTCGTTTTTGACTGAACAAAAAAGCTCTAGGAATAATAATTTCAGACATCTCACACACGGCCCTCTGGTGGCCCAAACTTGTAACAGCCTGTGCTATTGTAACCAGACTGAAATAATAATGGTATGTTTCCGTAGTCTGTTTAGTTGATATTGCTTTGTCGAAACTAACCAGTTAATTATGGATAAATTATTTAACTCAAATATTGCTTCGAATTAGTTGAATTAAATTATTTTATATGAGATTGTCACATACATAATATAATACTCTAGTTTCCAATAAACTTTTAAGACAAAACGTTTCAAATAAAAACCAGGACAAAGTATGACTTATATATGTTTGTAGTAGACTAGTGCTAATGTCTACCATGCTCTTGTCTAAATCCATTTTTCTTGTCAGGATTCCATTGAAACTCAGTGAAAAGTGCACTGTGTTTACAATCACTATTTACCTGACCTATCCTAACAGCCATTACGTGGCAACTATCACGGACTCCCTGTTTCTTACAATTTGGCCACCCCAATCGCGTGCCGACTCTCGTTCTGCCGGTCAATCGATTGCGTAAGATTTATTTGGCACCCATCGTGTTCAGCCCGGTAATGTCCCAATTATGTGTCCCAATTGTAATGTAGTCACAGATATCTTATTGTAAAAGATTTCGTTCTGTAATTTTAATTAAGAGATCTCGCATTGGTTTGAAGAGGTTTTATTTCTTTCGAAGAAGACGTTTAAACATTGAGTATGAAA